CCAGGAAGTCAAGTCAAAGATTAACAATTAATTAAGGTTTTTAGTTGAATGAAAAAAAGTTAATGGCACGAGAGGGATTCGAACCCACGACCTTCGGCTAGATACGCCGCTGCTCTACCACCTGAGCTATCGTGACCTCGATCCACTCCGAAGGTCGTGGGTTCGAATCCCTCTCTTGCCATTAACTTTTTTTCATCTCAACTAAAAACCTTAGTTAATTGTCATGTATTAATTGGTCAAGCGGACCACGAAAGTAGTGAATCAAATATTAACAATAAGCCTATGGATTACGTCAATGTACTGAAGTCTCATTGAACGTGTACGGCACAATAATAAACTTTTTAGAAAATAAATACAAATTATTTGAAAAAAAATTAATAGTTACGGTTGGGGTATGAAACTGATGCAAAAAAATGATAAAAACAATCAGCACGAGTAAAACTATGGCAAATGGAAGTTCAAACCAAAGTCTTTACTTACCAAATCTTATTCAGATTGGGATTTTATAACATGGAATCGTTTTTTTTAACACGCCTAGCTATCCTTCTGAAAAAAATATAGTGTGACTATTTAGATGAAATTGAAAAAGGGAAGTGCTTAAATTTTTAATAAATAACTTACATAAAGAAAAAGAAGACGTCAGAGTATGTATTAAAGTGAGTTCTAGGAGAATTACTATATAATTTTTCTATTACGGATCGACGAGTGTGTATAATTCAACAGCGGAGGCGAGACGTTCTTGAAAGCTAGCGGAAAGGCAATTTGAAAAATAGATGCGCGTCCTCGAGTATGCCCGGCAAAAATTAATGCTCCTGCGTACACTTTGGGGCGTTCTGGATTAATTCATAGGTTTGCGAAAAAAAAGACTGCTATTTGCTCTGGAGAGCCACCCGCTCCCAAATCGCACACACCCCCGTTGAATATTCTAACAAAAAAGAACGTAAATTACATCCTGTATGTACCAAATTGTTAAGGATCAGGAATGCGGATACAAATTATTGAAAATAACCTAATAAACATAATAAATAAATAATAATTTGTGACCGCATTCCTGATCCTCGACAAATTGGTGATATGGATATCTAGACGGTCGATTCATCTTACCTTCCTTATATCCTGTAAGTAGCCAGTCCTTATGACAAAACTCAGATCATCCGACGATCACGATCAGTAACCTACAATTCTAGTGTGTACTTGTATTTCTGAATATTGGTATATACAGGCCGAAAGTTTGATAGACAACAATTGAATTTGTTTTTTCATCTTTTTGACCAAACAAGATCCAGATTATTCCTGATGACTGTATAAGATTCATGTTGTTTTCTCAATCCTCCGAGGAAAAACTACTCGGAAATAGTTTCCAATCAAAAAGATATAGTATGCAATAAAATCTCGTTTTAAGTAAATTTATTATTACTTTGATATTTATTAACTAACATAACCGCGTACTGTCCGTTACCAAGTCCAGGTGCGGTATAAAGTTGACTTCGAATCAATCTGATCATGATGACACATTTTGGGTCAAATATTTTCTATTGAAATTATTTTCGATAATTTAAATATTTTTAAAACGCGTTTAAATAAACAATGAAGTATAAACTATTGTATTACTAAGAATCACAACATAATTATTGTTGAAGTAAAATAACCGTCTGAAGAAGGTGGTTAAAGATTACGGAACCACATCCTTCCATTAATGGGGGCACGTGTTGTCGGACTCTGTTTTCTTGAAGGATCTTTGATAAAAACTGAGATAAAAGGAATTTGAGCGCGTGCATCGGCAGCAGCATATGCCCAGCACTTTCTTTGCCACTCGAGCACGGTGGCACTGGCGCCGACAGGGCCCTTCTTCGTGGTGCTATGGCCGAACGCTTTTCAGCCCATAAATACGTGCATCGATGTAAATAATCATTAAACCTGAAGGACGTGCTCCTGAACTTTCATTAATCTTTATTTGTGTATTGGTGTACCATTAGCTGAGCAGAGCGACTTTCCTTCCTCGATCAATTTGACCAATGCAATTCTACTTAATTATAGTAAAATAATACTTAATATAACATAACGAAATAATACTTAATCTAAAGTGCTGCTGCAAATTTTAAAATGATTGAATATTTTTCTGAATTGACGTATGTACGATTAAATTCAAAATTATTTGTTTGTTAAGCGCCTTAAACATGAAAATGAAGGACCAGAAGCAACTATTGCCAGTAAAAATAGATCCTGTATCACTAATGACGAGAAGGTGAATGCAAAGGGGAAATATTTTCAATCAGTCCAGCTTCTCAGGCCCATGCTATCTTCAAAAGGCTGTTACTGATCAAGTTAAGAGATTGATGGCAAATTGCACTAACCCTTTTTCTCCCAGCAGGGTATGTTGGTCCCTCCCAACATAATTGGGATATAATACATACACGAAAAAATAAAAAAAAGCACCACTTCTGGACCGAATCACTAATATTACGCTAAAAAACCTTCCAAAAAAGCTCTGGTCTCACTGACTCACCTCTTCAATGCCATCTTTTTTAGGATATTTCTCGAAGTGCGGAAAGTTTTAAAAAACCCGGCAAGCTTCAAGAACTTCTTCGAGTTACAGACCTATCAGCCTACTCAGCTCTTTGGGCAAGATTTTTGAAAAGGTGTTTGCCAAAAGGATCGAAATTCATCTAGTCACCCATAATAGTATATAATATACCCATTAAGAATGAACAATTTGGCGTCCGCCCAGGCCTTAGCACCGTAGATCAACTTGCTAGAATAGTTGATCACGTAACTGAAGGTTTCAACGTTAAAAAAACACACGGACTGGTTTTTCTTGATATGGAGAAAGCCTTTGGTACAGTATGGCATGAAGGTATAATTCACAAAATTATTGGGTTGTCCGGAAAATAATGCAGGATTTTGGTATTAAACAAAAAAAAAGAAACTAGTTACTTTAAAGCAATGTTCTTTAATCAAAACCCAACGTGTTGGTAACTTATTAATTCCGTCTGAGTAGAATTCAGAATTTTTAGAATTGATAAAGTCAATAAATGCATTTTCCAGTTCCGTTTGATTTTTGAATATTATGTGTTGTAAGTAGTGGTCCAGGTGTCTAAAAAAATGGTAGTCAGTAGGCGAGAGGTCCGGAGAGTAGGGTGGGTGAGGCAAAGTTTCATAGCCAAGCTCCAATAATTTTTGTGACGTTACACGTGACACATGTGGTCGAGCGTTGTCATGCAACAAAATGGGCCCTTTCCGATTGACCAAAGAGGGCTTCATTACTGCCAATTTCTGATGCATGGTATTAATTTGGTTACAGTATGATTCAGCATTGATGGTTTCGCCAGGATTTAAGAAGCTGTAGTGTATTAAACCAAATGAAGCCCACCATACCGTAACCATTACCTTTTTTTGATGAGTTGGGGGCTTTGGAAAATGTATTGGAGCTTCTCCTTTGTCGAGCCACTGTCCAGAACGTCTAGTGTTATCGTAGAGAATCCACTTTTCGTCACATGTAACAATTCTGGCCAGAAATGGGTCATTTTTGTTTCGACAAAGAAGTGATGCACAAACATCAAAGCGCTGATTTTTTTGGCGATCGTTTAATGAGTGTGGAACCCAATTTTCGAGTTTTTTCACTTTTCCAATCGCCTTGAGGTGGTCAGCGACGGTCGTTTTACTGACTTTGAGTTGCTCTGCAAGTTCTCGAACAGTTGTTTTGGGGTTTTCTTCCACCACTGATCGCAGAACATCATCATTAAGAGAGGAAGGCCTTCCACGACCTTCTTCATCTTCAAGGCTGAAATCTCCCTCCCGAAATTTTTTAAACCACCTTTGCACAGTGCACTCATTAACACAACCCTCGCCCCAGACTTGGTTAATGTTTCTAGCCGTTTGGGCTCCGCTTCGGCCGAGTTTAAACTCGTAAAAGAAAATCGTACGAAATTCTCGCTTTGACATTATAAGGATGACTGAATTATTTCCAAGTAGCGGAATGCTACAGAGGTAAACAAACAATATCATTTGGAAGAGGATTAATAAGTGTTGACATTCATACAAATGAGTAATCCTGTAAACGTAAACAGAATATTTTATATAGATTTTTTTTAATGAAAACTTAAAATCCTGCATTATTTTCCGGACAACCCGATATTAAATACAACTTCCCAAAATACATTATCAAGGTGGTATACAGTTACCTTCACATGAGGTCTTTTCGAGTAGCCCTTCATAATTCTCTCTCTTCCCGTTTTGCCATCAAAGCAGGCGTGCCTCAGGGTTCAATTCTGGGACCGACCCTTTTTTGCATCTTTTTAAATGGTTTGCCTACGCTCAAATTCTGCCAACTCGCTTTGTACGCCGACGACATTACGCTTTATAGATCCTGGAGGATTAATGCGATCGTAAGAAACATTAATAAATAAAGAGCTGGAAAAGAGTAAGACGATTCTGCACTAGATGGAAGCTGAAAATTAACTCTTCCAAAACTAGTTGTATGTTACTCACTAACCGTAGGCTTCTGCTATTCCACAATATATTATTCGAGGGTAAGTTGTTTAAGAACTGTGAGGTATCTAGGGATCACTCTTGATGCCAAATTGAATTTTGGTGGTGGGTTCCCATTGCTCAGAAAGGAGCCAACACAATAAACTACTAATTTATAAAGTATTTATTAAAACAATGATGCTATATGCATCCCCGACATGGAATTTTACCTGTAAAACAAATTTTAATAGATTACAGGTAATCCAACATAAATTTCTGCGGCTAGCCACTGCCTCTCCCAGATATTACAGTTTGACAGACGTACACGAGGGAACTAACACGAAATGGGTATAGGAGGAAATATACGATGAGATCAGTAAATTCTTTAGGCGTATGAGTATCTCCTCAAATCTCAATTGCAGATTTATTAGTGCATATCCAACAAATGCAAATTGGAAACATAAGAGAATCAAACACAATGTACCTGGTTTATAACTTGTCATAGTTTTCAACTTCATAGTTATAAGAAATTGAAATTTGAAATTTATTTTTATTTACAAAATATATACAGTATTTACAAAAGAAATTAAAAGACTGGCTTCAGGCTTTCTGCCTATATACCTGATCTGAAATAAAAAAAGAACTAATTTAAACATATCTCAATATTAACACAGAGGGAAAAAAATTAAAAAATTAAAAAAAACCTTTACCTTATATGGTTAATTTACAGCAAAATGTGCTTCACTCTTTTGTACTTATATTTTTTGTAAAGTGTCTGCAAGGAGGCAGCTTCATAGTTAACAACATTTCTAATATTAGTGTATTCACTAAGTTCACAAGCTTTGCAAAATCTTGATGTTATACTGTGGGCTTGTGTAGAGACACTAGTCACCTCCAATACTGAATGCATGTAGTCTATTGGCGTCCACCTGTAAAAGGAACCAATCAGTCTCAAGCATTTGTTCTGCACAACCTGCAACTTCCTGTAGTTGGTGATACATGTATTAGACCAGACAGGAGCCGCATACAACAGCATGGGTCGAATATACAAATAATAAATTAACTTTTTATTAAATGTACTCAGATCAGTGTGTCTATTTATCAATGGAAATAAATTGCAGATCAGAGCCACTCCTCTATCGCATACCGTGTTGATGTGCTTGGTGAACGTGAGCTTTGAGTCCAGCATCAAACCGAGATACTTCACTTCTATTTTCCATGGAATACACCTTCCATTTATTGTCACAAAACAGTCAACATTAGGCCTTCTGCGAGTGAACAGAATCACCTCTGTTTTTGACTCATTATGTCTGATCCGCCACCTGTAAAAGTAATTAAATGTTTTCTCAAGGGCTAGTGAGAGATGCCTAGCTGTTGTATCTACCCTGAAAGGCGAGATCATAAAAGCGGTGTCATCAGCATATAGGGTACACTTTTAGTTCTGTTATACCATTAATAAGTAAATTGAACAATGTGGGCCCAAAGACAGAGCCTTGGGGTACACCAGCAGCAATTGGCCGAAAGACAGTGCTTACGTTGTTAAGCGAGACACAAAATTTCCTATCTTCCAGATAACTCCTTATTAAATAAACGATGTATTTACGGCGGTAGCCGAGTGTTAGCATGAGAGACTCTCTCGCCGCGGTCGTGGGTTCGATTCCCACCGTCGCCTCTGGCCCTTTTTTCACGATAACCCCCCCAATTTGAACACACATATAAGAATTCGTCACCATGGCTAATATGCATAGATCATAAGGCCAAAATTTAAAAAAAAATTATGTATTTAATTATTTATTTACTTCTTATTTACACTTTTTATATGCATTTATTTAATTCTATATATAGACTTCATCCCTCTGCATGTGATTTTTTGAACATAATTTTTTTCTCACAAATTATTGTGGAATTTCTTTTACCTCTTTGTATATAAAAATGATTAGTTGTAAATAATAGGAAGCCATAGTGAAACGTCACTTTCCCTAGGGAATCTGGGATGAGCCCCCAAAATAAACTCATTGTATATAAAACGATAGTTAGACCAATGCTATTATACGCCTGTCAGGTATGGAGCTACACAACAGCAATATAAAGTGCCTACAAACTACTCAAAATAAATTTTTAAGATTAAAAACATCATCTAAAAGAAGTGTTCCTATAAGCTGTATGCACGAAATTTTAAACATCTCACACATAAAGGATGATATCAAAAGGATAACTAGCTCCTTTTATGAACTTAGCGCTGAGAGTACAAATATGACAGTAAAGAATGTAGGAAACTATCACCTCATCAAAAATTGGAAACACATTTTAGTATGACTGCTTTGTATATTTATTCACTGTGTTATTATTTACTAAATTATTTATTAAATTGTTTAATTTTACTTCTTTATATATGCATTTATTTGTTTATTTACCAATTTAGTAAATGTTTGACTATGTATTGTACAAGTCAATTCAATGATTTTAATTTACAGTAATTAGTAATTATTTATTAACTTGCATATTTATTTATGTATTTATGAAATTAGCTATTATTAAAGTAAATGTGTTGTTTATCAAACTTATCTATTGTACATAATATATGCAATTATTTGTAACTTCCCTATTTATTAATGTATTCTTTCTGCAAATGGTTTTTTTTAAACAATTTTCACCACTGTTCTTATTTCTATAGGCCAAATCAGCAAATATTGTAAATATATTTAAGCCCTCTGCCACAAGGATGTATAATGTCCTAAACATTTCCCCTTATTCACTTTTTATAAAATATATGTAAAAGTATCTAATAAATAAACTCCAAACTAAAAAAATAAAATAAAATAAATCACTTTCCCTACAATCTAAAATTATTGTATATATTGTATTGCACATGTAGAAATAAAATTTATTGTCTTCCCAAAAAATTATTAATTTATAATAATTAGTAATTATTTATTAACTTGCATATTTATTTATTTATTTAGAAATTAGCTATTATTAAAGTAAATGTGTTGTTTATCAAACTTATTTATTGTACATATGCAGTCAATGATTTATAATTTATAATATATGCAATTATTTGTAACTTCCCTATTTATTAATGTATTCTTTCTGCAAGTGGTTTTTTTAAACAATTTTCACCACTGTTCTTATTTCTCTAGGCCAAATCAGCAAATATTGTAAATATTCTTAAGCCCTTTGCCTCAAGGATGTATAATGTCCAAGACATTTCTCCTTGTATTCAGTTTTTACAAAATGTATGTAAAAGTATCTAATAAATAAACTCCAAACTCAAAAAAAACTCACTTTCCCTACAATCTAAAATTATTGTATATAATAATAATAATAATAATAATACCTTCCTCCGGAACTTTTCAGGGAGGAGGCAATTCTTAGGTTTGTTGCTAGACTTTGGTCTAAGCCTTTCCATCTTCTATTTCCTTCAGTTTTCCGTAACCCTCACCAAGATATGTACTCGTTCCTAAGAACTAGGACGAGACCTCTCGGAATCCGCGGTACTGAAATGTTGAGATTAGGAGGGAATACCTTGCCGGCGGTTGAGGGTTTTAAATTGCTAGATATCCCACCGTGGGCATTACCTACTGCCACAATTATCGAAGATCTGGCCTTGTTGAACAAAAGAGAAACACCTTCTCTGATGATCAAGGCAGAATTCTTGCGAATTTTAAATAACTATCCCAATTATAAAGTTTTTTATACCGANATAATAATAATGCTTTATTAAACATAAAAAAAGGAAAAAAGACAATTTAGATTTCAAAGCATTTAAGGCCATGGATCTTGGATCCGTCTGCCAGAGGTCGTTGATTAAACAATCAGAAACGAAAAAATACACAATCAAATAAAATAAAAGTGATAGCCTACGCAATAAAAAGGAAAAAAAAGGAGAAACAACTGCCAAAATGCGAAAGAGAACATAAAAACAGGTTATACAATAGAAATCAAAAATTAAACTCATTAATTAATTCATATCGGTAGTTCCATGCATGCCTAGCGTAACGAATTAAGGGCTGCGAATTTGAGCCACTCAAAAACCGTAACAGGTCAACCTTGGGGAGAATGAAACATCCGAGATGCTATTGTATATATTGTATTGCGCATGTAGAAATAAAAATTATTGTCTCCCTAAAAAAATTATTTGTGTATACTCGGTTAAAGTGGCTGTCTACATGAATTGATGATTGAAGTACTGTAGAAAAGCGGACAAATAAAGCGCCTCTCTTTCTCAGTATGCAAAATGTCTTCCCTATGTAAATGGGGTGTCCCTTCCTCGCTCCGTCTCACAATTAGGACGGACAAAAGGGACAACGGGTGAAATATGTATGCAAATGGCGGAGGGATAAATAATAAGGGAGTCATGAATCACCTCAAGGAGGTACATGTCTTTAGTAGCATCGCTTCGGATTTATTCCGTTACTAAATCAGGCAGCCCTTTTGGGCCACCATGTGAAGAACGCTTATGAAAATGTTGTCCGACTCGGTCGGGCTTATTCTCATGGAGAAAGGACGCCGTATCGCATAGGATTCAGACTTGTTAATTTATGGGGCCCAGTCGGCATAGTGGCAAAAATTAGTTGTGCTCAATAAATTATTTCTATTAATGTTTTTAAATTTTTGGGGTACTTTCGCCTTGACGCTTGTAAATTCCACTTGTTAATTTTAGTAATATTTACACAAAACCTTTTATCCGCACATTCAGGCAAATTCTCCAGTATAGAGCTTTCGTTATTTTTATAAATCGACCGATCCATCGACATTCTATACTTTTTACGAAATAAGTAGCACGGAAGCATACTCTCGGATGTTTTATAAGAGTCCTGTATCAAGCAATTTTCACATCTTATTTCTCAGATTTTCATTGTAATGTATAATTTTAAATGTGTGGTGATTGGTGACCGTTAGTCGATAATAATTCATAAATCGTGAGATGCAGTCTGATGTAATGGAGGTTTCAGAAAAACATTGTCTTTATCGTGACAACGTTTCAATCTTTATTTAGATCATCTTCAGGGCCTGGGATTTACAAACATTGTTTAAATTTAAAAATACGTGTAGGATGTGGAAAAAAGTGAATTTATACAATGCAAAAAAATATTTTTTTTATATTCAATCGAAGTATTTCTATTTACCCAAAGTATTTGTTTTCTGCGTAATTGTGCCATTCTTGTTGGATATATCCAACGTATATAAACATAAAACAGCAATATCTCACTGGCACTCTCAACATGACACGCAAGAATGGCACAATTACGCAGAAAACAAACACTTGATATAAAAAAGAATAGACTGAATATAAAAAATATTTTTTGCATAGTATAAATTCACTTTTTTCCACATCCTACATGTTTTTGTTAAAATTAAACAATGTTTGTAAATCCCAGGCCCTGAAGATGATCTCAATAAAGATCGAAACGTTGGCACGAAAAAGAAAATGTTTTTCTGAAACCTACACCACACCAGCCCGCATCTCACGATTTCTGAATAATTTTTGTTCTAAGAAGTAACTCATGCCTAAACAATATTTCAATAGTAAGTTTGAAGGTATGTGGCTTTTTTAATATTGAGCTATTCTAATTTCACACCATGACCAGTTTGTGGTTCGCCTAATGAAAATGACAGCCTATTCCATTTTATAGCGGTTTGTACAAGGCTGGCTTTTAAGTACTACTCTGGAAGTGGTTTAGAACTTACACATTGGAAGGTGGTCTATCTTTAAAACAAATTAATAGGGAAAAATTGGTTTGTGCTTATTAATTATTGTAAAGAAGCATTTAAACATCGACAGTTGAATATTTAGTTTGTTTTAAATTATTGTAGAAGTAAGAAAATTATTGTTTTTGTCTTCTTAACGAAAAAGTTCTTTTTTATATGAACTATTAATTTATTCAAGACTTAATTAAAATAAGGTTCCTTTCAATGTTTCAAAAATATATTTATTATTCAATATCGTTAATAATTACGTATACAAGTTTATGTTTTGTTATGTTGGTTGACTCCACACACGGCAATAAGCAAATGTTTTTTATTATGTAAAAACATGTTAAAAAAGGAGAAAAAGTAATTTATATGAATAAACGACTTTTAAATTCAATATTTAAATTTTATTATCGTAAATCATTAATATCGATAATTGTTTTTTAAAATAATTCATGCCAATTAATTATTATGTTAATTAATTTTATTTTTTAATTAATTGTTTGTTTTGAATGATTTGCAAAATAGTATAAAATTCGTTATTTTTAAACGTTTTTTAAATTTATAGTACATTACAACTACCTTCAAATAGGTAACATGTAACAATGATAAAGGAAATATATACAAA